TTGGCCAGGTGGCATCATTGATGGCGTCAAGTGTGGCAGCGGTAGTGAGGTTGGCCCAGGATCGGACATTGTTTCGTTCTGCTGTGCACGGGGTCACTAGGAGTCAGTTCCAACTCGATGGCACCTGACAACAACAACAACAACTAAAAATTAGATGTTTATGTACATTGAAAGATTTTGCCAAATGAATAAAAAGAGATCTCACAAATTGGGGAAAAAAAATTGCAATGATATATCAGACAAGGGACTAATGTCTAAAATTTATAGGAAACATTTCTACCAGAAAAAGGCAAACAACCGAATTTAAAAATGGGCAGACGACCTGAACAGACACTATTATTTAGGCAGCCAACAAACATATAAAGAAATGTTCGTGATCATAAACCTTTAGAAAGACAGTAACACTTTAAGTGTTACTATCACTCTCACTGAAGTCCTGATGTGGTGGTGTGGGTTAATGCGCAGGACTGCAAAGTTGGTTTGAACCACAAGGTTGGCATTTCAAGTTCACCCACCATTCCTTGGAAACCTTATACAGGGTCACTATGGGTTGGAACTGACTCCATGGCAATTAACATCAACAACTCTCATTTACTAACAGAGAGACAGGGGCACAGAAGTGTGTCACATTTTTAGTTACGAACCCCATGAACATTTAACAATGACAAGTAAGCTTCAAGAAGCAATATACACTATAATGGATGATAAATTTAAATAATCACAGGAAATTTACAAAAAACTTTGAATTCATTTTAGCTAGTAATTTTCCAAAAAAAAAGATTTGTTTAAAGAAATTGTTATTTCAGAACCTGCTAAAGCTTAAAAGAACTAATGCAAAGACTTATTCATTCTCAACATGTTATTTCCTAAAGGCATAAAACAGTAAAACAGAGCAATCATCCTTCTGTTTTACTCATTTTGTAACATCATATAAAGCCGCTTGACTAGCTCCCACAGCATACCATCCTTTTCATCTTTACATTCTTTTAAAGAGCACTAAGAATCACAAAGAAAACATTCTTCAGACTCATTTTTTATGTACTTCTTACTCTTAAACCAAGTCTGTGAGTCTTGTTGAATAAGTGACCTTAATGTTTTTACATCTAAATCAACAGTCTCTAGTTTTAAATGTTAGTGATCCTTTTATTCATATTTATATTAAAATCAGGTACTGTTTTTTCTCTGAGAGATGTATCACTTACAAAACAATACAGTCCAACCAATTTTTTTTTAATTTACACGTTTGGTCATTAAACTAATCTATTCTGGTGTGGCACTGTGGTTTAATGCGCTGCACTACAAGGTTGGTGGTTCAAGCTCACCAGCTGCTCCTCAGAAATGCTAAACAGGGTCGCTTCGAGTTGGAAACGACTCTATAGCACTGAACAATAACATCAACAACTATTTTTTATTAAAACAGTGTCTTTGAATGTTACCTTGTTCTAAGTTTTGACAGCTTTTCAGCAGTTTATGCTTCAGGATAGATAACAATGTTGTTGTTAGGTGCTATCGAGTCAGTACCAACCCATAGCGA